TTGATGGAGAAAAATATCCTGTCTCTTTTGTTGCAGAGAGAAAGAAAATGAAGGAAAGAAGGAAAAGAAAGAAAAGAAAGAAAAGAAAGAAAAGAAAGAAAAGAAAGAAAAGAAAGAAAAGAAAGAAAAAGAAAGAAAAAGAAAGAAAAAGAAAGAAAAAGAAAGAAAAAGAAAGAAAGAAAGAAAAAGAAAGAAGAAAGAAAGAAAGAAAGAAAGAAAGAAAGAAAGAAAGAAAGAAAGAAAGAAAGAAAGAAAGAAAGAAAGAAAGAAAGAAAGAAAGAAAGAAAGAAAGAAAGAAAGAAAGAAAGAAAGAAAGAAAGAAAGAAAGAAAGAAAGAAAGAAAGAAAGAAAGAAAGAAAGAAAGATCTATAAACTGCAATGCATTTTTTAAAAAGCATTCAGGTATAAATGAATAAGTTACATAAAATGTGAATATAGACTTACAAACGAGAAGTATAACATACAATTAAAGTCCCTCCAAAATACATGCATCTCTCGGGCAAGTTCATGCAGTACTTCAATAAGTATACACTGTTTCAGCTACATTTGATAAAGACATAATTTACATACAAATCTTTGTTCTCTTTCAATGAACAGAGATTGCATTTTAAGTGTGTGTGTATATCTACACACACAGACATAATCAGATACAGAGCAGCCAATTTCCTCTACGATTTTTGCATAATATTGTCAACACATTAAGTTTTCTATATTGCACTGCACAGAGGAAAGCAGGAAAATTTCAGTAAGGTTTATTCAAATCCCATATGCATTATCAATGTATTTCAATGAAAGAACTTTTAGGATTTGCTTTTGGTTTTGTATTTCAAATAGCACAGCACCCTCTGGTGCATCTACTAGAAAGAAAACAACTAACAATAAACACTAGGCATTGTTTTCTGATAACTCTTTGGCATTTTTGTTTCTAAGGGCTTCTTTTTTCTTTTTTTTAATGTTGTCTTTTTTGTAATAAACTTCTTTTTCATGCTTTCTTATTAAAATCTTTTGTAACTGAGGATACTATAAGTACTGAATAAAAAAAAATTAAAAGAAAGAAAACTGCAGGTGTGCTAATACAGAAAGATACCAGAAAAAAATTCTAAACCAGACAGTTAGTTTGAAACTAACCCCGTGTCCTTAATAATAAGTCATTTTTATTAAAAAATATTCTAAAGGGGAATATTCTTTAAGTAAAAAAAGGTAAGTAGGTTAATGAAACAAAATGTTACACCAAGCAACACATCTGCTCTTGGACTTGCAAGAACGACAATTATAAGGACTACAGCTATCCACACACTCATAAACTGCTAAATTTCACACCCAAATAATCTCTTTTCAAAGTCCAGTGAGAAAAGAATTAAATAGATTACATGACTGTACTACAGGGAACACTTCATACTCTGATATAACATTTTAACTATTAAAACACAAACTCTGATATGACACATCAAACCATTAAAATACACCTAGTCACTGGGAAAATAATCTCTTATAAAAGTACATTCTGCTAATCATAGAAGTGGAAATCACCATCTGCTTTAGGCAGCTCTTTTGTAAACCTCTGGAAGTCTCAACACAAGGCAAAAGAAATGAAAGTGACACCTGTTTAAATCAGCCATCTGTCTCTAACAAACTAGATTTAGCCAAATAAGAATATGTACTGATCCTTAAATTTCCAAAATATGGGAGAAAAGAGAAAAGAGAAGTATTGTTATGATTGACAACCAACTGTAGGCGAAATACATAAATAATAAACTTGTGGCTAATAGAAAAAAATGTCATAAACATTAGCCTATTCATTTTAAAAGCCTCGATGATTTTTTCAGTCCTCTTATTAAAAAAAATAAGCATTTTCATTGATAATTTCAAAACATTCTGCTTTTTGTATTCTAACACATTCATTTGACAAGGAGTTTGATTTTGAAATGGATCTCCAGCTACATGGATATTACATTGACACTGAAAGCTTATTTTTTATTCCGTTTGTATTTGTTGGGCACTCACAACGTCTTTTCAACTGAAAATTATTTTTAAAAAGTATTTTAATAGTCACATGTATTTTTTAAAGCCTATTCATTTTTTAAGCATTCCTCATGACACATACCTGCAAATGGTAAGCTTTTGGAGACTGCAGGTAAACATACAACTCAGAGAGAATTTTTTAAGAGGGAAGAAAGCCTCAAAGTAAAGTATGAAAATCAGAAACACTAACTACAACACTAAAAGGAACTGCAATGATAAAGCCTTTCCTCCCAATATAAAGTTTAGTAAAAATGGAAAGAAACTGCAACATGTATTTCTGCAGGCGGTTTTGTGATTAACAAACTATCCTATCAGGCAGGAACAAGAAATGGGATAGTGCTCACAAAGCTGAACCTAATTATCAAATAAAACACCATGACTTTGAACTCTTTAACAGCATTGTACCTTTGATTCCCATTTCCTATACCTATACTACATTAGTGAAAGGGTTTCTCCACAGTAGCACAATGTAGGTTTAGCTCACTAGTAACACAGCAGAGCGTAAAATCCTGACTGGCTCCTTTGGATACACTGAAAAACCATTAGACAGTTACACCATGTAAGTCATGAAAAGCTATGCGTTAAAAAAATATAATCACAAGCCACCTGATTTTCAAACACTGGTTAGCATCACAAACACCAACTATTTTGTTAGCTGTGGGCATTAGGGAATCAGAATTCATAATGAAGATCTCATCTGTGGTCATCGCAGTATCTCAGTGATAATAAAGAGTCAGTACTTTTCTCAGTAAAATCCATAATACTGAAAGAGATGATTATACCTAAAGTATTATTTTCCAAATTGCAGTCACTGGCTAAAGAAAACAGTTTTAGACAAAGTCATGTGCTTTTAATATGATTTTTAAGACCTGTATGTCTTCTCACAAAGTTAAAACAGAAAGTTTGTCTCACACACATGCACACTTTCCTGGGTACATGTTCTGCAAAAACAGATTTCAATACCCAGGGAATGACCCAATCCTGAGTAGTATTCTGTCCCACTATAAGAGGACTGTTCAAGAAAGATATGGTGTAGAGAGGACATCTTCTCTTTTCAACAACAATAGATGACAGAAATTATTTAAAAACCGATGAATCGCAGAAAATAGGAACAAATTCATCATATATGTGCCATATAACTGATACCATACTAGAACTCGCACTAAAAATTATTAATGTCTTTAACGTATTTGACAGCAGAACCTAGAAAATCAGCATGCAGTGGTTTAATCTTTGAGTAAAATAATAAAATAATGATGATGTAGAGACTTTTGATCATTACTCAAAATAATTTATTTCCTAAGTTATTGTTGGCCCATGAAATACACATTAAAAAGAAAAGACAGATCGAATATGCCTTACCTCAAGAAATATTACTATCAACAATGCATTAACTACTTAGCATGTTTTGTAGTCAATATTCACTTTAAAAAATTGCCTCATTCATTGGTAATTCCAATGTGAGACAAAATGAGCATCTTGCAGTTGAAACCGTAATGAGAAATCCTGCATTTTACACAAGGTTCCAAAGATAAAAAAACGGAAAACAGTATATGCAATTAAAATGTAGGTTTTAGATTAAAAAAAAAAAACATAATTTTCTTTTAATTATTTTACTAAATAAATAAGTTATCACTTCAAAAGCAAAAAAGCCTCGCACAACAACACATGATTTGACAAGTCAAATGGGAGAGTGCAACTAGATACAGAGATGTTAAGAGAATTTCACTGCCATAAAAGATGCCTATAATTCAGTTAATTTAAAGAATTCAAAAAGTGTATGAAGTGTATGATTTGACATTACTGACAACACAAATTTCTAGATCCTAATAAGCAATCACAAAAAGGATGAAGAAAACAAGCATTTTGGACTGAAAATACAAAGCAAACCACACTCATTAATAACACAATTTCTACAACATCTCCTTGAGAGGTAAAAAAACTGCCTCTTCTCTTTTTTCCAAACACACTCTTGAAATACAGCAGCAATAGCAAAATCAGAGACTTTGTTTTAATACTATTTCTTGTTTTCTCCATTCTTTGCTGCTCAGCACTGAAACTTGCAGTCAGGATCTTGAATTGCCATCATTGTGGAGAGTTTAAGGAAACTGAAATGGATTCTCTCCACATGAACATAACTCATGTGCAATAAACTATAGACCTACACACTCACTGTTTCATACTACACTGGCAATATGAAAGCACCATTTAAAAGACAATTCCCTGCAGAAGGAGTGCGATAAGAAAAAAAAAGCACCTGCTACTCTGTGTGTGTATGGCTGGGGGTATGAATAAACAAAAACCCACTTCACAATACAAAGAAAATATAGGTTGCACTAAAATAAACAGCAACACTAATTATTAATAAAAGTAAAAATCATACAGAAAGCACCAAAAAAAAAAAAAAAGAGTAGCTGATATGATCGATAGCAGGAGACTACCATTAAAAGATACAGCAAGTTCACAAAACCCTGCAATATTTAGTAGTCACATCAAATCAGAACAAGGCCTCTATACGCGAAAGGGGAAAAACAACCCCTGCTCTTGCCATGCTACAGGATCCGTCTCCGGCTGCATCTTTCCTCCCAAACCCACGGCATTTTTTCGGGTTTAAAGTCAGTAACCTTCGCCTGCGGCCGATTTCTCCATCTCCCGACCAGTACGATCGAGAGACTCGAGCCGGACGCACACCCACCGCATCCCACCGATTGTCCCGGAGGTCTCGCAGCATCATCCAGCCAGTGCCGCCGCTCGCCCGCGCGGAGCCGGCCCCGCTGCCCGCCCCGGCACCCCCGCCCGTGCCCGCGCCCCGCTCCACCCCGCGCCGCGCTCCCGGGGCCGGCAGAGACCAGGGGGGCCGAGGAAGCCCCGCGAGCACGGGAGAGCCGCGAGGGCACATCCCGGGCCTGGATGCCACGCGGGGGAGGAGGAAGAGGAGAAGAAGGGAGGGCCGGGGAGCGCCCGCCGAGCGCGTTCACCTGTGCCGGGGCGGGCTGCGGCGGCGCTCCCGCTGTCGCTGCTGGTGCTGGCGGCGGCTGTGGTTGTTGTTGTTGTTGTTGTTGTGGTGGGTGACGGTGAGGCGGGGGGTGCGGAGCAGCGGCAGGAGGCGGAGGAGCAGGAGCGGGCGCGGAGCGGCTGTTGTTGATGGGTAACAGTCGCCAGGACTACGGTGACTATGGCGCTCGACTCACAAGGCAACGGTTGCTATAACTCACAAAAGGGAGAGCGGGAGCGGAGGGAGGGACCGGCGGCCGCACGGAGGGAGGTGGGGGCGGCAGCGCGGCGCGCGCCCCGGAAGGGGCGGGTCTTGCGGTAACGGCCTGTGTGCGCGGCGGGGGCAGTGCCCCCTCCCCCCTCCCCCTGCCCGGCCAGCCCGGTGCGCGCGCCCACCCGGTTCTGCCCCGCGCGGGGGCGCGCGCGGCGGGCACGGCGGGACGGCGCGGTGGAGGGGCTAGACCCGCGCGGGGAGGCGGGGCCGCGCGGGGACCGCTGACGCCACTTCCGTCGGGGTCCCGGCGGGAGGGGCTCATAGGCGCCGTCCCGCCCGCTCCAAGATGGCGGCGGCTCCGGAGCTCTCCCTTCACTCTGGGCCGCGCTGCCATCTTCCAGTTAGAGAGGAGGAGGAGGGGGAATGGGAACGGATGGCCGGCGGGGATGGAGGGGGGAATGCCACCCCCGCTGTGCCTGTCCCACCGGTTGCCGGGCTTCTGCGGGGGACCCAGCTGAGGTCTCGGCGTGCCCGGTGGCAGCTCTGGGCCCACGTGGCCTTTCCAACCTGAGTGCGGGCGATGGGGCCGCGGGTGCCCTGCTGGCACAGTCACAGGATCATCTGGGTTGGGCAAGACCTCTGAGGTCACCGAGTCCAAACTGTGACCGAACACCACGACAACTAGACCATGGCTCTGAGTGCCGCATCCAGTCCCAAACACCGCCAGGGAGGTTACCACTCGGGTGTGGTAGCCAGCTGCGCTCCTCACAGGCCGTGTCTGCTTGCTCCTGGTGTATACAGAATTGTTAAGGTTGAGGGGGAGCTCTGGAGACCATCAAGTCCAACCCCCCTGCCAAGGCAGGGTCACCTGGAGCAGATGACACAGGAAGACGTCCCGTTGGATTCTAAATGCCTCTAGAGAGGGAGACTGTACGACCTTCCTGAGCAGCCTGTTCCAGAGCTCTGTCACCTTCGGTGTATTAAGAAGTTCTTGCTTATGTTGAGGTGAAGCATACTTGGGAGATGGGAGACCTTGAGGCTGTATGTGCAGTGCCCACACATCTCGTGTCCAGTGCTTTGTATCTCTGTAGTCCCACTGCATTCCCATCTGCAGCCCTTTGCTATCCAACAGAGTATCTCTGAAGCTTTGTACAGAGCTGCTGCAACCTGTGCAGCCAGTAGTGCTTGCCTGTAATCCATGTAAACCATGGCATTTCCTCATGACCATTCGTTGTGTAGTGGTGTGTATCCTCAAATGTTCCACCAACACGTTTTACCAGTCTTGACATCTGTCTCATACCTCTTGCTGCAAGAACTGGACGTTTGTGTGGCATGCTCTACAACCACCCCACTTCACCTGTCCCTACAGGAACAAACTGAAATTGCTTTTACGTACCACAGAAGCATTTTCAAAACATTGGTAGATTTACTCTAATTTGCAGGACCCTGTGTAACCATTATAGCTGTAAAAACTATTTACTAGAAAATACTGAGAAAGACACTTATCTTTAAGTATATAACAACAGCTTAACTGACAGAGATTTGTCTATAACACAACAATCTTGAAATAATAAAACATCACTAGCCTTTTCAATCAGAAACACTAAAATGGGAAACAACTATAAGCAATATAATAATGATACACAGCAGTGCACTTAAATTTGATAGGAAAAGATATTTTTATAAGCATCTTTCATTCTGTCAGCAAATACGTTTTTGTAGCTGGTATGCTAGTACATGGAAATGTTTGAGGTTTGAGTGTTTTCACTGAATTTTAAACCTCATATGAACAAGGTGAAAAACCAAAAAGAGTTTTTGGATACTGAGTAGTTTTACCAGAAAAATTGCCAGAGTGATGTGACCCAGTTCACTGGTAAAGCTTTAGCAACATTCATGTCATCCATGTTGCTAAAGAAAGCATTGACTTCAAGCGTTTTACTTCTGGATGTCTTTTCTGTTGTGTCAGTTGTCACTTGCATGGTTATGTGCTTGGCAACATGAGCAGGGTGAGCTATGGTAAATGCCATAGAATTGGAGGATAAAACCACTGGGCTATTAATTTTTTTTCTCAAATCATGAAACTTATGTGTCTGTCTATGTGGAAAGAACAAATCAAGACCTTGACAGAAATTTAGGATAGAGGCTTATAAATATCAGTAAACATTTTCCTCGAGCCAGTGTATTTGCAAAATATTTTAGTCTACACCAGCATTTCAGTCTATAAATACATGATCAATTGTTGTGTCAAAGGGAAGAAGCTAATTTTGTTACAGGAAAATTATTTAATCACTTCAATGTTCTGATGTTTCCATTCATTAAATTATTTTGCAGAGATACTCAGATCAATCAGGAGCTGATGGAAACTCTTTCAAATAATTTCAAATACATTTCTACAAATTTTTGTTTCAACATTTTAGCAATTTGATCTTTATGAAAAAACATATTAATTTTTTGAGAGATTATCTCCTTTTTTTGAACTTGTCAACAATTATTCATGGAAAGGTAATCACTAAAAGATTCAGTTGCTTCACAGAACTTTTGTAACAGTATTAACCTGCCAAATTGAAATATGAAAGCACTATTGATTAATAGTGTGTATTGCTAAAAGCCTTGTGGTTTATATTTAGATACAGAATATGCTGCATATCTCATTTAATTTTGTATGTTCTTATATGGATAAGGAATAATCAGAATATAATCAAAGTTTTTCACCAGTGGACTAAAAGAGGGCTGGAACAGAAATTGGTCATGGACTTCAAAGATTATTGATTTTTGTTGTCAGAATCAAAACTTTAACGCCTTGGAAAAAAAGAATTGGCATCATATACAGGAATTTCTACTGCAATTTCTGATATTGAGAATGGTAATGGAAGAAAGACTATTCCTATGGATAACTTTTTTTCTGATACTGGATTTATAACGCTTCAAGTTTTTGTTTTTCCACAGAGCTACGTATGAATATTTCTTATAAAGTCATAATTAGCTGTCTAGTAATTTCATACAACATCACCCTTTTTTAAATTGATTTTTTTATGTCCAATTCATAGGTTGTTTGCATTTCCCAGTGGTTTTTAGATACACTCTTTGATTTTTAGCATATCTGAAATATACCATAATGCATTCCTGTCAGCCATGTTGTACAGAATGCAGAAGGTATGTATCTTATGAAACAATACAAAGACAACACAAAATGCCAAAGTAAAGTGTGTGAGAGCAATCAAACTGATTGGGTACGTCAAATCCAGTATTTTTACTGGCCCAGATGGTGTAAGTTAATACCTAGAAAAGTGCAAGCAAGCACATATGTTTTTTTACTTGTTTAGCTTTGCCACCCTATGACCATTTTCGTTTCACTGATTTTCTGAACCCTGCATGATTAGTCTTTTTTGTAAACATCAGAGAATCTTTTCCAAGAATTTGTCCAAGCACCCCTTGAACTCATGTATATGTAACTTTTTTTGCAACATTTTTTCCCAAAATCTTTCATCAGGAAGACCCAACTGTCTGGCAGATTTTATATGAAAAGCAAGCCCTTTTGCATTCTTGTAAGTCTAGTCCCATTGATTTCTGTGTTTTTTATTCCAAGGAGTGCTCATGATGAGAGGGGAAAAAGGCAAAGGAGATACGTATAGATGTTGATGTTAAGGGATACGCAACCTAGTGCAGATCTAGAGGCTGCGATGCCTGGAGTGTCCTTGAATCAAGGAGTCATAAAATACCTTGGGTTGAAAGGGACCTTCAGAGGTCACCCAGTCCAACCCCCATGCAGAGAGGAGGGACATCTCCAACCAGATCAAGTTGTGCAGAGCCCTGTTCAACCTGACCTTGAATGGTTCCATGGATGGGACATCCACCACTGCTCTGGGAAACTTGTGCCAGTGTTTTACCACTCTTATTGTAAAAAAGTTTCTTCCTTATATCTGGTCTAGATCTACCCTTCATAAGCTAAAAACCATTACCCCTTGTCCTATCACTACAGACCTTACTAAAAAGTGTGTGTTAATCTTTCTTCTAAGCCCCCGTTAAGTACTAAAAGGCTTCATTAAGATCTACAAAGAGCCTTCCAGGCTGTTCAACCCCAACTGTCTCCACCTTTCCTCATAGCAGAGGGTCTCCAGCCTTAATCCTTGTGGACCTCCTCTGGACCTGCTCCAACAGGTCCAAGAGGTCTTTCCTGTACTGAGGATTTCCGGAGCTAGATGCAGTGCTCCAGGTTCAGTGTCACCACAGCAGAGTAGAGGGGTACAGTCATTGATTCAGGATCACACACTCTATCAATCTGTACCAGATAGCTGAGGAACTGAGATGTCTTTTCTTCTGCTGACTCAACTACCTGTGCAGTCTGCATGTTTGGCCTTGGGGATGGGAACTGATGGCTGCACTGCTTTGCTGGGCAGGAGGTGCAGTAGAGCACACGTTTCATGGTTGCCTAGGCCTTCTGTTATCGCAAGTTGGGGTGGGACCCGCGACCGACCCAGTGGCACATCTTGTATGGGAGATTGGTCACACAGATGACCCACAAAATGGCATTTATTAAAACAAGATGACAGTTTATATACAGGGGAATATAGAAGGTTCGGGAATAGAGGAGGGTTTCTTGCTAGGAAACATCAAATCCCAAGTGTCAGTGATAAGGGTATTTGGAGAGATAGGCTGCAGGGAATATGTCTCGTCACGCAGGGGGAAGGGAGAGGTAGGGAAGAATGGAAGGAGTGGCCTGGGGGCACAGACAGGGAAGTCTGCAGATGCTGCAAGGCTGCGGCCTTGTAGCTGGGTCCCAAGCAGTTCTGCGCAGCTGCAGTTGCTAGAAGACTTCTAGATAGATCTTTTCTTCTGAGCCTTCCTTGCAGCTCTTTTGCATCTCTCTCCACTCTCTGTAGGCCTCTTCTGGTCCACCCCCGACATTCTGTTATGTGGACAGTAGTGCTATGCTGCTTTGAAAATCCTGGGTTCTGATGAAGAAAACTTTGTATCTTTTCCAGATAGAAAATACCTCATTTTCTTAATTTATATTCTTAAAAATATTATTTGTTGTATTTATATTTTACCCTAGATGCTAGGTCTCT